AGAACTCAAGGAACCCGTTCTTAGAAACTGAGTGGAAATGACATACAAATAGTTATTTACAAAATAATGAAATGTTTATGTTTTATAAATATTGTAATGAGCTTAATCAGAGTTCAAAAAAAACAAAAACTCTGAATATGAGATATACACCATATAAAAAATTGTTTAAAATAATATGTAGGAGTAATCTTTGTTTTGAAATAAAGAAAAAAATTATTGTAGAATCTACAGAAAGAATTAGAAATAGATTATTATTTTTTCAGCAATAAATTTGGATATATATTCAATTTAAAAAACACGTCATATAAAAATACGCTTTTAATAAAATTCTCTTACCTTACATCAATTTCATTAGTATACCCATTACTAGGCGTGGAATCATCATAATCCGGTAAAGTGTATTGTGTACGACGCATCATCAAAACTTTTGGCATAAAGTGTAAAAATAGTTTGCGAAACAGTGGTGACATTTTATGTGTCGATGGTGATCTAGAAACAGTATTTAATTATCTTCATAAAATTTTGTTTAATCAATCAAATTTCAATGCACCAATACTCCATGGTACCCATAAGAGCGTTATTTTATATGAGAATATTTTAATTGCGGGCGTAGCAGCTAACTTACCTAAAATGTATATTCAATACACACACAGTCGTCCAAACGGACAATGAGACCAGTATCATAGTAAATAGTAGATATTTCCCTAGAAGCGGTACGGCCAAAGATGTTGGCGGAATAATTTCAGCCAACAGCAAGAAGAACACAGTCAATGACACAAGTATGGAAATACATAACGTAACCTGTCAACGAAACGTAAGCGTGTAGGTTTGGCATAACGTTCAGATACGTTGTCAGCACGTATTGACCACCGGCATAGTGTAATTCGTCCACCAAACAAATAATAAACAATAGCCAAGTTAACAAACAAGCAAAAAACACGTCTTAACCAATTACAACAAATAACAACAATCGGCAAAACATTTGTACTCGCCTTATCTGTGTACAGATAAAGCATACAAAGTTTTTATTAACATTTTTTTCGTAAAAAAAATATTAATTTTAAATTTTGTTTAATATATTTTAATTTTTTAATTTCAAAATAACAATAACAAAAAAACTACACGTAATTTGTTTGATGGGATTTGTTCATATGCATGATGAGTGCACCCAATTAAGCAAAATCATATGGGAAAAAGTGTGTTGTGGTTTATTTAAAACTATGGATGAACTATGGACGAACTATGGACGATACTTTTATGTTATATACAAACTGTTTTCGACATGCAGACGTAAAAAAACATTTAGCAGTCGGACAGATCTCTGTTGGGATGAAGGGATTATTTAGTCAAAAAAACGTGCTAGGAATTGGAATATTCCTTTATAGACTTTTTTGGGAAAGACAACGATAGAGCTGCACATCTGTATTATCATTGTCTAACAAATGTGAAATATAAGTTATTAATCCATAGCAACTTATATTCTACAAAATCTTAACAACTATAGAACTTTCCTTGAAAACAATTTCATGCTTCGCAACAGATTCCAACCAAATTTAAAACCCCCGAGTTTTATATGTCTATACAATAGACCACCAGCCATTAAAATACTCTTAGCTCCAGCATGAGAATTTAACCTAGCCAATATGAAATATATTTAATCAGAATTTTATTGATTTTCTTATTCAGATGGCGCTAATTGTAGTGTTTTTATTTTGAAATTTTCGAAGAGAAATCTAGAAACATTTTTATTATAAATTATTTTATTTATAAACTTATAACATTTTTAGTTGTTATTCGGCGGAACTTGAACATTATAGTGCATATAGCTTTTTCAACTATTCAGTCGTAACCTTTATCATTATAGACCCATTCATTTAGAGTTTCCTTTAAATTATTTAAATCTTTATTAAGTTGGCGTCTCTTCCGCAAATGATATTTGGAATATTTTCAAATTATGACAGTCAAACAATTGTTAAACGAAAAAGTTATATAGATCAAAATATATTTAAATAGATGGATTTACATAAGAACGTCTTTACGTAAAGTGATCTTTAACCTGGTAATAGTTAATAAGGAGTATATATTATTTTTTGTAATATATTTTGATTAGAAAGAATATACAGCTCAACACTACGGATATTTTTTATGAATATTTTGTACTAAAAAGTACTGATTGATCGATATATTATTGATCGATGTATTATATAGTTTAATATAATACAGTGTTAAGAATTTTTAGTATACATTTGAAAAAACATATTAAATTGTAAATCAATTTGATTAAAAATAAAAACAATCATTTACAATTTTACATGTATAAATTTATTAAATTCAATCTGCTTAATTAATGTAAGAAAGAAAATACAGATGCCAATATTTTCTCTGCATTATATTTACAACTTTGATAAGAATCATTTGACGAACCAATAAGCAATCCACATATCTGTCAAAAAAGATATGTATCTGGAATGATATCGTACAAGATAATTAAACATACTTTAGATTTAGTTCTTCTTCATAATTTGCGCAGTAGGCTTTAAAAGGAGCCCTTATTAGGTCACAATGTATACTATATATTTTTAACAACCAAGTTCAATAAGACTGTAGGAATAAGTAAAAATCCACAAAAAAATGAACCGTATATTATATATCTTCCATAGTAAATTCATCAACGTATAGGTCTGAGGTTTTCTCACTCATACATATGTTATGTCTGAAGTGTACAATATTTGAATATCTGATCAAAAGATCAAAAGATCTTTCAGATCGCAGTACATGCGTAGCCTATCCATTTTAATGATCATAATATTTAAATATCATTATATTTTAAAAGCTGCAAAATATTTAAATACTATTATTTTTTTCTTGTTTAATTTTAAAGAAATATATATAAGAGAACTATATATATGAGAAATATATAGGGCCACTATAAATAATCAAAATGGAAGCCAACATCTGCTTTTGAATACTATTTAAGCAAAGTGCAACTAGAAATTTATTTATTATTAGTGCGTAATATAATTAAGCAATTTAAGAATATATAATAATTGTTATCGTTAGAATACTTTTGACAATTATTAGGCTTCTTCTAAGTTTAAAAACATCTTTTATTTACATCTGCAATTCGAGGCGCAGCAGTCAATATATACGAATAGTAACCAGCACTGTATATTTAGGGCTTTTTGTCATTACCTTTCATTTGACAGTATTTATGAAGCTATGTAAAAGAATTTTTATAAAGAACTTATACAAATAGAACAAATAGAAGGTATTGATGTTTCAATTCACGAGATAGATACATGTGCAACCATAGTTTGAATTATTTATTTTACATAGGATTAGGTTTAGATATTCATTAAAGCTAGTAAATGCCATATGGTCAGTATTTTTTAATAGTCGGATATAAACTGCGAAATTGAAAGGATACTGCCTTTACGACTGATCAATTTCCATGATTTTTTTCCCAACATGTCAGAGTTAAAATTATATCCTGTAAGTTCCTTTTTGCTGTCTATTTAAGCAAGCTTTGTCAAAAACACTTTAGATCATGCATATTAATAGTTTTCTATTCTGTAGAAATAGGTTTCTTTAATTTTTATTTCAGAAAATATATATAAGCAAGTGGTTCGTATATATTAATTTTCTTAATACCTTCGAAACAATTAAAGAAACATAAAATCGAAACCTCTGAATTGAGGTTTTATCGAAATGTAGTAAAACTTTGATTCTCTGCCATGTTAGATAAATTGATTCATGATTATTCATGTTAATCTTGGAAAAATAATAGTGATGGTTTTCCGTTGTCTACCTCCGCTGTGCACATACCGTTTATATGGATACCACTGCTCTATTTGCTAATTCATGTATTACCATACCAGTTCTTTCAACCTCTGCCTCTATACCTGATACTGAGAAACCAGCTGCCATTCCCCAGCACCATATGTAACCTTTTATCGATACTACCTTCGGAAAGCTTACAGTGGGGGTTTGTTACGAAGTTTACCATCTCCTAGTAAATTGAAGGTAGACGTAGCCCTGGGAGACGAAAGATATCATAGCTGAAGAATTAACGTCAATGGTTTAATAAAAGTACAAGATCACTTTTTCGAGAAGCTGTAGATAAAATCAAAATAGCAATCATGTTAGCCAACGTTCGAAGGCACCTAGAAGATGAAGTAAAACTTTCATGAAGGGTACACGGAATCAAATTCTCCCTGCTGAAGGAACAATATTGAATGTAAAAATCAAATTTAAAAACATCATTTTCTATGTATATATGACTTACTACGTCTCCATAGCAAGATGATAAGAAACCTTGAAATAACTGATTATTAAAGCCAAAATAAACTGAAGCAGAAGTCGAGACAGGTTGAGAACTGTCAAGATCAAAAGACTTAGAGAAGAAAAGACGTTATTGGTGCAGGTAAGGTGAAAAGTCCATATTTTGACCGTCTTCGTCAGTAATTATAAAAACTGAATAAATTAATACTAAGCAGGATAAAAGCATAAAGCTATTACAAAACGAGTTTCTAACAGAAGCACAACTACTGGTACTGGTAAAAATACTCAACATATGAAATTATTACATAGTTTTAACATTTTTATTAACACTTTTTCCTTTATTTTCTTTTGTATAGAAAATTTGAGCAACATTATTAACATTCAAAATAAAGCATCAAAACAGTAAACATTTAATATAAATTGGCATTCAAAAAAGCTTTTTGGCGTTTGATCAATCATAAAACGAAAATAAAAATTTGCAACTTTTTACACTAGAAACCCAAATTTGTTGCTAATTTGACATACGGCAATGTAGCTCAAATTTTTATTTAATAAAATTTTAATTATTTTTTTTTTAAATATATTTAATAATATTAACTAATATTCTGGTTTTGCTTAATTCGATGCGACTTAAAACAAGACAACTACAACAACATATGAGTTTTATTGAACTTCCGATGAAAAATTACGTTATGACATTTCTCACTACTTCCTTATAGCACAGAATAAATTTCATCATTTTTATTCGTAATATTTGCAATGATATATTTTATAAATATATTTTATAGATAAAATATATTTTGTGCTATACTATGAGCTAAAATGAAAGAAATTAAAATCTAAAAAATACAAAATTTATATGAGTTATGTATGAATATATATATTAGTAGGTACACTTATTATATATTAATATTCTGACCGCTTAATGATACTAATCAACATTATCCTTCCAGACTAAATATGAACAAAATTTAATTAAAAATATAAAAAAATTTCATTTAATATAAATAATAAATAATATTAAAAAGTGGTGCTTATTTTATATAATATATTATAATATTATTATAATTATTATACTATAATATTATAATATGTATATACATTATGCTGTAATATAATAATATATATATTATACTAATATTAATATTAGTATTAATATTATAAATCTTAAAATTTGAAATATTTATATTTTGTAAGCATTTTAGACTTACAAAAGGTTTTATAAAAGAATTCACAACGCCCAGTCGGGAGCCGCTGTGATACTCACTCACTAACAATTATATACCAAACAGTATTAGATGATACCTATTGAATTTTAGTCGCCTTTTACGACAGACAAGTTTTACCTAGAGAAATTTTAACCCCTATCCCAAAAGGAGAGGAGGTAGAAGGTACAATGGTTATCTTCATCAGATTTCTGATCCACATATACATAAAAAATTAGTATTAGAATTTGAAGTGGAGTATATAAATAGTAAAAAATTTACGCTTCCAATTGAATGCCGAAATATTTTTCATTGTAGGCTAGCATATTTTTCCAGACCTAGATTAAAACCAGACAGTTACTAAGTGTATGAGAAGTATCATTGTCTTCTATGTCAAAACGTCATTCTGTCATCATACACAAACCATTATTATTAAAATGGTGTCGTAGGTCACAATTTCCTATCAAATAATCTGTAGTGAAAAGTTTTATTGTAACGATAGAGATAAGCCAGGTGTTCTTACCTTGGAAATTTTCTGGAGTGTCAAGTCGGAGTAATAAATGGATACTTTAGGATATGCCCTTTTAATATATATAAAACATTTGTAAGGCAATCTAGCTTCTAATAAGATATATGTTAACACCTTTCAGGCAATAGTGACGCCTTCAGAGTTTTTGAAACTTAAGTACTTTTATATTTAAAATTTAATTTAATTTATAATGTAAACAAAGCAATATCCTTGACGAATTATATTTGGAATTTTGGAATGAGTTAATATTATTGTAAAACTTGTCTTAATTATTTTAGCTATGTGAAACTCAGTTAAAACTGTTGACTTCATAGCTATCTATTTTTTTGTGGGATGTCTTTTCACACTTCGATAACGAACATCCTTTATTGTTGTGATCTAGCTGTTCCTAACAATGGGTCATCAAATTACTTCAAATTAGTTGAAAAGATATCTGTGTTTTGCTAAAAATGCCAGATCCAAACAAAATTTCGATCGAAATCTCAACTAAAAGTATTTTGTATTTATATTTACTTTTAAAACCACAAAATGGATAACCCTATGGTATTCGTATTTGTTTTTAAGAGTATTTTACTCAAAAAGCAATTACATTCAAACTTCTCTATAATGAACGTCCCTATAACGAATTCTCTCTATAACGAAGATTTGTTGAAGACTGCGATTTTCATATATTTGAACCTATAGCGAATTTCTCTCTAACGAATTCGTTATAGAGAGGTTTGACTGTATTTAAAAAACTGCTTATATAAAATAGCACTCCACAAATAATAGAATTTTAGGAAAACTTAATTAAATTATAAAACAAAATTTTTAAAAACTAAAATAAGAAGAATAAAGCCTTGTTAAATTTCAATAGCGAAATTAAAAAAAAAATTCTATAAGGAAAATTGAAGGATTGAAATTAATTTCTAGTTTATAGCAAGAAGATAGTCAAAATAACATAACAGAACACAATAAAGTACAAAGAACGAACATTAGAGCAGCGACATGCAATAAATTCAGACAGGAAACAGTAATGCCACACTCTTATTCCAGCACATACGGAACGAACTTACCTTCTCGCCGGAATCGCTAGGCAAATAAAACACCAACACTGTAAGGAACGTTAGAGCAACACACGGTACTATTAAGTTGACAGTGTAAAAAAGTGTTTTACGACGCATTGTTAGCTTGAAAGTTATATCTAAAATAAGTAAATGGATTTTTTTAAGATTTAGTAACTTTTCGTAGTTAACAATTAACGTAGAATTAATTTGGTGATTCTTTCTTCCTTTAAACCCTTTTCAATTTTTATACCCTTTAATACCTGAAAATGGTTCCAATGTATCGGGGTAATATTCTTCATTTTTAGTAGCAGGAACTTCAAGGATATCCCATTCGACTGATAAATAAAATTCGCTTAAATCAATTCCAATTTGCACTAGATTACTGCCAGGAACCTGAAATTTTTACAATATTAAAAAAGTATGAATATTTTATAGTATAAATTTATTAAAGTATAAAATTTAGATTAAAATAAAAAATACAAATTCAATAAGCAAGCAAAATCAAAAACTTTCATTCCCAGCTATTTTTTATTTGTCTACTCTCTGATCAATTTTTTAATTCTTCTATTCAATCAAAGTCATAGTACATTAAGCGCCTCACATGTACCACACCCATGCTTTCTGCTTTAGATAAACCTACACCTCTAGGTGTCTAGACCTTTTGACCACATCTCCACCCCTAAATTACTATAATGAAGTTTCCGCATTCCAGTGGAAATATTCTCCATTCATTCTTAAGAGGTGATATTAGTGGGTTAAAGTCTGACACTGTAGCTTTTGATGCTTTCCACCCACTGCAAAAATAAAATACATTAAGCGTCCAATCCTAAACTAGGCTATATATAATCATCATAAGTGAAGTGGAATATCAGCTCTGTTGATCCACTTAAAAATAAGATATTTGGCAGATCAAAAAATAGTTAATTCTAAAGCTATATTCGTGACTATATCTCGCTGACTATTTTACAAAACATGTTGATCCTTTGATAGTTTGATTTTCTAATCATGAGGATAAAGTAGGAAACAAACATACTAATGAGCCATTAATAGCACCTCCATCATTAGGGATTGATTTGCGATTGTTTTAGATTTTATAACACGCCAACAAGAATTGCTCAAATTCTACCACAACACTCAGGTCAGCATAAAAACAAAATGAAAGTTTATAAAAAAAATATTATTTCTAACGGGACACCGCACAATTGGATAGGATGGAGCTGGATAACCGGTGTGTATAATCTCTTTCATTGGCTTAAAAGGCAGTTCTGCCTAAACACCTGTAATGATACTTTTCTAAACCCAAACAAATAGACGCGCTATTGTTCAGATTACTTTACAACCTTGTCAGTGCACAAATCAGTTTAACATTAACTCCTTAAAATTATTTAGGAGTGATATAAAAAATAATTCCATCGTTATAAACAAAAAGCACCACCTCGATGACTCGACCTCGACGTACTAGAACTACGATATACAGTGCCTATGTCTTTCATTCTTGAAATTTTAGATTATGTCGACTTAAACCTTCCGACACTTTTGTTAATAAGAAAAAAATATCGTATCTCTAAAAATAATACAGTACTTTTAAGTCTTTGTGTATTAATTAATTGAACGACATATCTATACACGTCAACAGTTACTTGCAAACTAACTCACCTGATCCAAATGCTTCAAATCCACCTGTGCGCCATTATAAGTCCATGAACCAAATTTCATGAAGCATATCTGTTCATCATATGGGAAATACTCGACATTCATTTCGCAAGATGATTTGTAAATTGCGGGTGGTTCCCAAAATACTTCACCGGTATATTTTAGTGTAGCCTTTGTCATCAACGTGACCTGGAAAATATTTGTTTCATCAATAAATTTATAAGAAAATATACATAGCATAGTATTTATCTAAAATTACTTAAATTTTTATATAATTAATTAAATAAATATAAATACATACATATAATTGTCTATACCTCATAGTTACCATCCCAGTTATTGTACAAAACAATATCAGGCACCCATATGTGTTCAGATGGTACATAAAGTTGTTCAACTCCACCATATTCTTCAGGGTTCCAACGTAATTTGTAATCAAACCAACGCTTAAAAGGAAAAAAGTATCATTCAATATATTTTAATATATGGTAAATATAAATATAGCTTGGAGTTCAAAATTTAATTTACCTGCTTTACCCAGAGATTCGTTGTCATGACTTGATTCTTTAAGTTCACCTCAATCAATTGGGACAGTTTCAAACCTAACCAAACAGTTAAGGTTTCTGTGTTATTCACCACTGGACGTATCAGGCGATTATAATTGCTAAGCAAGTCATCGTAGAGGCGTTTTGTATCTGGATTAGCTTCAAAACTTATAGGCGCTGTAAAGAAATTATTTGAATTAAAGGATAAAACTATATTTTATCTAAATATGCTAATTGTATTATTTTATTGAAACGATTAAAGTGTGCTGGCAAACAGCTCTGTATGTTTCAATTAATCTCTAATTGAATGTATAAGGAAATATACATACTATATATGAACGCAGTGGTTCAAGAGCAAGTAATCTAAGTTCCAGAGCTACTAATAAATAAAAACTAAATGTTGCTCAATACAACCATTCTGTGCTACAACAACAAGTTGTGTATAGAGGGAGGTGGGGACACCATTATAATGCACAACTTCTGTTGAAGGATTTTATATAATATTACTTACAAAAAATTTGCATATATGTTATATATAGTATATACTGTGTTTAAAGATTTAATAATAATGAATTTAATAAGTATCTATATTATAAATTAGTAGTGTTCTACTAACCGCCCCTTTGGGACACTATCTATTAACATCTCTACATTCCACTCATCCAATCTTTAGAAACACTTGTGGATTGTTTACATTCTTTGTAAACATAAACAAATACTCTGTTGATATTTCTCTTCCAGGACAATAAAATTTAGAGAATAGCTCAGCACACAGCGCAGGCGTTATTTTAAATGTCAAACTTATAAAAAAAAATTCCTGGGTGGATTCTTTGTCAAAATTTTTTGGGATACATAAGATTGAAAAACTATAGAATTTTACAAAAACTAATTTTTTGAAATAATCAGCCTTGCTTACGTGTTGAATTAACGGCCACCACAAAAATTAAAATATAAAAAAAACGTGTGAACCACATTTTGTTCAAAATTTAGCACAAAATAATTTATAAAATTTTTTTTATTTCACAAAAATAAATCACATAATCGCAGTTATTTTATCAAGCACGTCCTTCCTGCTGAGAAGTCAAACTACATCTGTTATGTGATGTAGCCTGCAGCTTCTCACAGGGATGCTGTCACTTATCAGTTGACAGTTTGATTGGAATAGAATTTCCTATAACTGTCAAATACTGTTGATTATTTTAAAGCAACTGTTAATTTAAATAAACCCCTATGCTCTATTAGGCGTGAGAAACCAAATCGAAAAAATTGAATGAAGCAACGACATTTATTACAACGACTTGGAAGGATTAATTTTACTAAGCGAAGCATTTCAGTTCGGCATTAATATCGTAATATCGTGAACCTATACAGCTTTTCAGAAGGCTTAAATAACGGCTGTCTTAAAAGCATTTCAAATTAATTTTATTCTGCATACAATTTTTTCCCTAACGCCTTTATATTTCTACACCAAACGGCGAAAAAAGCTCAATAAAAAAACTAAGAACATAATTTTAAGAATTTTAAGACGTTTACAAATAAATGCATTCCTCATTATCATACAAAGTCTTCTCTTGCTTTAATTAATTATTATTGTGATTTAAATCCAATTTAAAGCTCGATAACCTCCTAAAAATCACACCAAACGGAAAATATATAAGTGCAACAACCACGACAACAAGGCATGAAAGAAAGAGGAGTGTAAGCGAATAACAGGATTGACAGGAATAAAGATGGTACCAAAAATGATAATATGGATGGATTTAAGTAACTTCGATGGAAAGAACCTTTCCGCCCTAATAAAGCGCAATCGTAAATGCGCAGATTAAAATTTATTATACAAAGAAACAGTTGAAAAAATGGATGTGGTTACATAGTAAAGGACTATAAAACTCGCATTTAGAAATATAGACATTTAGCTATATTAAATAATTGTTAAATAATTGATTATATTCTTGCCTTAATTAATACAGAGTATTTTTTTGCTATACTGGACAATTATACAATTTTGTGTATTATGGAATAATATTTTCAACTTAATACATATATTATTTTGTTGCTTAGCTTTTAAGTCAATTAATTATATGGATTCATAGTAATTAAACCACTTCACTACTCTCAGCTTGCATCTAATACCTATAACTGGAGCTTCAACATCTATGCGTTTTACTCGCTAAGAGAATTTTACTTTATTTTCATTGCACATATGTCTTTTCTTCGCTTTGGATATTGTTGTGGTTACTGAGGTAACAGAGATTGAGTCCAGTTATGTTTCAGTAATGCATAAGCACTATTTTGTGCCACACATCCAAAATAGATTTAAAGCCGACTTGTTTGAATGTTACAAAATGTTATTTATTTCAGGTTTACTATTGGATTATTTACAGGGCTCATTGATTTGTTGACTTGCATACTAGAATACCTTAGGTTGATAGGTTTGTACATTTGCACAATAAATGTTGCAATTATTTTCTCTGCTTTCCTGTACCGTTTGGGTTAAAAAATATGCTCAACTTTTAACTTTGATACTTATCAGCCAGTGACCTATCAAAACTTTCAAAAGTTTACCGTTTCGTTCTTAGATCCTTGTTTCCATCAATCTGATACTTCAACAATTAACAGAAGAAATCTATACATTTATGTTTTTAACGATTAACTTTAAGTTCCATTTTAATACAACTATGATCAGTATTACTGTAATCATTAATATATTATTAGTATACATAGCATAATTATTATTCAATTTAATTTTTAAGAAAAAATCATGTTAAAATATTTTTAGTGTGATGCTCAAACTGTAAACAGTTTAAAATCTTTTCCATAGTGACTTTAAAATATTGCATTTTTGACTTCAACGGTTGCGCTGGCAACCAATATATAATAACAAATACATTTTGGTTTAAAATGAAATTATATCAATTCTATAAGTTTATAGTAAAATTTTAATATGCAAAAACTATAATGTCCATCAAATTTTTTTACAATTTTCCGCAAATTGCACGCGAAGCAGGATTTAAATTACATCTCTACAATGATGGCTTCATGGATTGGCGTCACTTAGGTAAAGTTTTAATAAAAAAACATTTTAATAATTGAAATTAATTTTATTGTGTTGAAAAAAAACTTAAAGGCACCATCGAAATAGAACGAGTACTGCGGGAACAAAATTTGGAACAAATAGATGGATTGCTAAATCATCTTTCCGAAGCACCTTTAGGCTCAATATTGAATTCACACATTCTGGATAATGGAATTGCAAAATATTTTATATTCTTACAATTCGCCATTCAATATTTATTATTTTGTCGTAATTTTTTGGATGAAACCGTAGTGGATCTACGTGAAGCCCATGCGAAATCTCAAATTGAACTAGCAAAATTAAAAACTTCACACGCCGATGCAAATAATGAATTACTCCAATTGCAGAAGAAAATAACACAAATGGAAGCAATACACGAAGTTATTTATCCATGTCACCTGTGCACCAAGAATTTTATCAGTAATGAGGCACTTAATTTGCATATCAGTCGTAAGCATTGTAACACTGGGAAGATTTTCATAGATAAGAAGAAACCAATGCCTACCACGAAAGACATCGATAATGATATGCAATTAATTAATGCAATTAAATTTGAATTAGAGATAAAACAACTGAAAGAACGTTTGAACGTAGCAGAGAAAGAAATTAGAGAACGCAAGAAGGAAAACGTTAAAACCAGTGGTGAGGAGCTCATTAAAGAAAATGTTCATGTTCCGATATCGCCAGCTAAAGAAGAACAAGAATCTAAAGTCACAGTCACTCAAAGTATTGGCATTCAAAGTAATTTAATTGAAGTGAAAGAAGCAGATGATACATCTGTTATAAGCGACACCGAAGTAAGAGAGCAAATAGAACAACTACGAGATCTACAATTAAAAATACAAGATATTGAGACTTGGCGTGAGGAACATAATTCTAACAATGAAGATTGCATAGCTGAGATCAATGAAAAACTAGCAGATATAGTACAAACAATAGGGAAATCAATTACCAATTTAGATTCTATTGAAGAAAAATCAAATTCTAGACAAGAACAAAACTCACCGACCGTAGAAGACTTAGAACGGTTACTAAGTCAAAAAATGGAAGAAATTAGTATGGTAAGTGTTCAAAAAATAGAAGAGGTCGTACAAAATCTCCAATTAAGCTATAGGGAGAAATTATACGAATTGGAAAACGAAGTTAAGCGTTTAAATTTTGAAAGTCAATCGATACAACATGAGGAGTCATCAAATAATACTAATCATGAACACGATGGAAGGAGTACGAAAATGAATAACATTGAAGTGGAAAGTAGTCATAAATCAATAGATAATTCCGAAAATACTTGTAAAAATAACGAGCCGCATATATATGTAAAAACAAAAACAGATTTTAAGGAAAAGAATATGAATTCTATATATAAACAAGCCTTAAACAAAGAAGATATTGAAAGCTTAGATTCATTAAGTGTCAAAAGTAATGAAACTTTTATTAAAACTATAGTAAAAAAGGATCAAGAAGAAAATTTGGAAACTAGAGGTGAGTAAACAATTTACAAAATAAAATTTATATTATTATTCATTTCTAGCAATCTGGTAAAATATTTAATCGGAATTAATCGTTTTCTTAACCAATTAATTTGCCTGATACAAAAGTTAACATTCTTATGAGAGTCCAGCGGTAATTTATGCCAGTTGCATGCAGTTGAATCTATCATCTAAAATAATACTGGAGTATAGAGAGACAAGAATTTTCTTTTAGTAATGGAGCTGAAACTCTAATCAGAAGCTCACAAACCTGTTTATTTGAAATGTGGCACCAGTATATTGTATTTTTTAAATATGTCTCATTTTTAGAAGACACATAACTGTAGTATGTAGTATACTATTCTACTTGTAGTTGATCTCTATTATACTTCAGTTTATGTTTACATAAATATACAGTAATTCTAATACTTCAAATCTTTTGAACCTCAATCCTTACTTATTACCCACTACCTAAACCTCATTCCCTACTTATTACCCACCTTACAGAAGGTTTACATTTACTGTATAACAACTCAATAAGTTCATTTTCATTAAAGTTCTATTGAAATATGTATTCTAAATTTAATAAATAAATTAATTTCTTTTTAAAAACATAAACATTAAATTTATTTTAGATAACCTAAACACCGCTGAAGATATACAAACAGACGTTTCTACTGACGATTCCGAAAGTCTTACTTCAAATAGCGAAAGCGAGGCAAGTAAAAGTGAGGATAAGATAAGTAAAAATGAGCAGAGAGGCACTAAAACTGCAAACGATAAGAACCTTTCACCAAGAAGTTCGAATATTCAGAAAGGAGCTAACGCCAACATTAAGAAGGAAAACAGCAAAAGGTAAGTAACTTTCGGTTCCGCTTATAAACCACATTTATGCTTTTATAGGAAATTCTATACCAGGTTTAAAATAACAAAGAATTGTTGTTGGTTCCGATAAATGGAACCATTTGTATAAAATTTTTTGGACAAATAAAACCATCTTAATGGATATGGATTGATCAAAATTATTTTGATCTTCAAGTTCAATGTTACATTTTATAGATTTGAAAAATAAAAAATAAAGAACCAATTGTGAATATATATATGCATACTTATATATAATATATAATTAAAAAATTTTACAGAAAGTCTTTTAAAGCCCAACAATATACAAGAGATGATGCCAAACAGTTAATAAACAAAAAACTATCGACTTTTGGATTTAGTTTAAAAACCAAAAATCTACCAAGAAGCACTTTGAAGAATATTGCAGAAAATCTAGCGGAAGAGAGGAGTAAACAGGTAAATCGTGAGCTATTTGGAAATGTATAATATAATAACTTACTTGCGTCACTAAACAGAATCGTACTTTTAATGTTACACGTAACAAAATCAAGAAGTTTGTCGATAAAATTTGCTCTAACAAATTACCGCAAAACGCTGAACATGTTTTAGAAAACAAAAAACCCTTACGACCAGCGGATGTGATGCACAAACTCCAACAGCAGGAAACGACAACAACTATATCTTCGGACGAAAGTTTTGCAGAACATGAAGCGATAACATCAACACCTACAAGTGAGAAACTAAATATCAATAGTGATTTTAAACAACGCTTGGAGAAAATTTTAGCATCCCCGATACGACAACCAAGCAGCTCGATTGTACAGAGTAAGCCTGTGCAAGCAAGTAATGCTCCTGTGCCTGTACCAAGGAAACGTGTTATGTTTAATACGCTGAAAAGTGATACAGAATCTCTTAGTAATGAACGCAAATTTGTACAGTGAAGTTAAGTTAAAAATTATAAATGCAATTATATACAGTGATGAAAAAAATAATAGAAAAGGCTTAAATTACTGTCTTTATCTTGTATATGCTCTGTTAAAATATTTATTTTCTAAAGTCTTCAAATTTATAAAACAGTAGTCCAAGTAATTAATATGTAATTATAATTAAACAAAAAAAAACAAATTTCCCGCAATTCATAATAAAAGAAATGGTAGTGTCGTTTTTCTCTCTCCCTTGTCATACCATTCGATTTGCACCTTATACGACAGATATTCCATTTTTGGAAATTCGGTTTTTAAAAATTCTCGCATTATGTTCTATTGGAATTAAGCTCGGCAACTACGAAAGACATACTAATATCGCAATATTTTTCTCCATGTACCTGGACCTTGCTATTCAAGATGTATGTTTTGGATCGTTATCCTGCATAAACTTCCACTTTAAAAGCCTTTCTTCCTCTGCATATAAAAGCATTATGTTATTAAATATATGAAATATATTTATATAAATATATGAATGTTGTCTGTTCTGCACATCTTATCTTTTATCCAGTATATTGGACCAATACCTGATGAGAGCATCTTATAACATTATGTTACCGCTACCGTGTAATGCTGTTATAATTGTGTACTTTGAATCGCGTCCATAATTTTTAAACGTCTTACATGTGGTTTCCCATCAGATCTACATAAATTAACTTTAGTTTCGTCAAACTAAAGCACATAATTTCAATTATTTCGCAAGAAATGTGTTCTTGCAAAAATTATTCTACAGGATATGTTTGTTTTGCTGAGAAAAGGTATGTTTCTTGCGGAATGAGTTTTTAAGTCCATTACTTTTAGTCTATTTTGCATTATTCTACTTGTTACTTTTGCATTTAACTATTTTTTTTTTGGATCTTTTCATAAAACAAATGGATTTTTTCTAGCTTGCCGAATCAACAATTGGTCACACCTTTCAAAGGTACCCCGATTTCGAATTCAGTTTTCTTGTTTTTTTTTTAATTATTTGCAGAGTACACATTTTTTTTCAGCATTTCATTAATTTTGTAATTTCTTTCATAGATTCACCTTTCTTTCTTAAATTTAAGATATCTCGTTTCATTTCTGTATAATGACTCTTACGACCCATTCTGATGAAGATCACAAGAGTATTAGTTACTACTATTGCTGTTTACAAACTTTTAAATACCACCGGCGTCAAATAAATTAACTTTGCCAGAATTGTTTTTATAATAAAATATGTACCTATTTCTATTTTTTTTTTCCAACCCAAAACTGCCGAAATAGGTGTAACAGCAAAAGTAAATTAAAGTATCTCATCAAAATAACATATTCAGTGGACTACATGCATATAACATTTCAAAAAAATAAAATATACTCCTTGAAGTAGTACAAACCTTCTCGTTTCTATTATTTTTCCACCACTGTATGTATGTATATTCAACTAAATTATATAAGTTAAAATTTATACACAATATAAATTATAAAAATATATGTATATGACTTAATTTGTACTTTATAGATGTGACGATAATTAGTTTTTATAGTTATTGGCAACTTTTTCTGGAATTAATTACACATTAAGCACACATTTTGGTCCTTAACATGATTTGCATCCTATTCCTTCTTGAAACTTCGTTCTTTTCACTGCATAGTACTGCACTCGTCGATACGAACAAAGTGTTTGCTCGATAAAAACTAAAGTTTATATGAAAAATTTGCGAATACGTTAAGGATGGTCACATTTAAATAAGTTCTGCTTGATTTTTTTGTACTAAATCGGCTATTAACTGATATGGAATAATATGCTGGGAACCCGCTGCGAAATCAACTTCTTCATCATCTACGCCAACTACCACAGATGGTACTAAAATAAAAAGGAACGTATGAAAAAAAACTATTTTAAATTTTTTTATACGCAAATACTAACTTACCAGATACTTTAGCTTTAACAAAAACATGGCTCATTACATTTGGCCGCACTATACGCTGTTCGGCATCGGAACGTTGCATATTTGGCATATATTGCAGCGCCACTTGATTAAAATAATTTTCGGTGTTATCATGCAATTCTTGTGCGAATTTAGTTTCTTCGGGTGATAACCGCTTGTTATCAGTGTCATAATTAGCTTCTTCATTTAGTATATGACGAGTATAGGTTTCTATTTTTTGTAAGCGGCAACGCAAATAGCTGGCCATAACGTATCTAATTCGTTCCAATTCCATACGATGCGTTATATACCGAAAATCATTTTTATCTAAGTCTTTCATATTTTCTTCCATATGCACCACTTGACCCATCATTAATTCCAACATATCACTTTGGTGTGGCAAAATTTCAGGTGCATTTAGTTCATTGCGCCAAGATGTTTCTAAAAATTCAAGCACCTTTTGTTAAAGGAGCGTAAAATATATTTAAGTTTTTTTTTGTAACTAACCAAAACCTTACCTTTTGTGCTGTAATCAATTCTTCTTCATCCTCTTCAACACCTAATTGTATATCTTCCAAATCTTGCTCAGACATTTTGTTGATCAAAGTAAAAAATTGTCAACAATCTTTCAAAGCCAAAAACAACAAAATGCGCGCCTGATGTAATTATTTGCACTTTCCTACAGTTTTATACAAGCTTAAAACAACCCTGAACAGAAACACCAACAAAAACAACAGTGTTGTTGTCGCGATTCACGTGCGAGGCACTTTTGACATTTGTTTTGAATCCAAGCAGAGCAAAGATGTCACAGGTTGACGAATTCCAACGAAATTTTCGTTTAATTGTTGAAAAGATTTTTAATAGTTGGCAAAATTTACGTTTAGCGGTAGAACATGGCATGGGCGGACGTAATGGTCAACAGGTAATAGTCGTAATTCATGTACCTGTTAAGACGTACTTTATATAAATAAATAATTATAGGTAGCAATACAAATAATGGACTACACTTACCAATATTGCGTTGGTAATGAAAATATTACACAAGGTGAGCTCCAAGCTGTTATAGAGGAATTGATGGATCAAGAATTCAATACGCTGTGTGATGACAATTCTATACAAGGTACATTTTGTAAACCAATTAAGTGGGATTTTAATACAATCATTCATTATCTCCCTAGAAATCTCGCGTAATTTATTACGCTATAAACAGATGTGTCTACAGAACCAATACCAAAGTGTCGAAAATGAGTTGAAAAAATTGCCAAATTGTAAAGAATGGTTACGAAATGATGTCAAAATTGCATACACTCCCATAGCGGGTGAAGACTCTTCCACTGATGAAGATGATGGCAGCTCCGATGAGGGAGAAATGGATATCGATGACTCTGACGACAATGAAGCAGCCACATCTAGCCGGGTGACACGGTCTCAAACTCGCAAACAGCAAGACGATTTTGTGGAACCAGAACTTGGCTGGACAACTGTACGCAGTAAACGTAAATAAAGCAAAAATACCTAAATAAAAACATCTGATAGATATTGTATTAAAAAGTCGGGAAACACTAATACCATAATACTATAACTTTTATATCATTACAGCAACTGATAAAACTAATAATTAAATAAAAATAATTTATATAAAAGAAAGATATTTTTAAATATATGTTATATTTATAGACACTATAAATGATATGCCGTGATGCAAGTGTTAAATAAGCCATGTTGTGACAGATTTTTATAAATATTCTACTTATTTCTACTCTCTAAAGAGAATAGTTCCAATAGTTACCAAAACTTCGGTACTGCATGAACCGTTGAAAAACAATTGTTTTGCGCTAATTACACTCGGTGCTATAATGTAACTGTTATTACGGATGGTTAGTCTCCAAATGTAGACTTAAAAACAAATAAGAAGAGCAATCTTCTGAGTTTCGAGCTTATAATTATTCTGATTATTAGATTAAAATATGCATAACAAAGAAACCGACCAAATAATAAAGAAACCATTGATTACGTGATCCGTTACAGCACAACGAAAAATTGAAACGCCAGCTGAACTAATGAGTGGCTGTGTTTAAAAAGAGTAGAACCACTTACATGATTAAAAAGAAGCATTGAAGAAGACATGTACAGCGGGGGCGGGTGTAAGTGCAAAGATTAACCATTGACGTATAGAGCGCAAATTTAAAGACAGCTTTAGCTCACGCCAAGCTGTAAATACTATGATTAGGATAATAACTGTACTATAATTAACGTATATAAAATCAATTTTATAGTAAATTTTTTTTAATTAAGTATAACACTTTTATTAATGAAATAAACATTTAACCAAAAATATTTCTGTTAACATCACTTAAGTCCAAAAATCTTAGCGTTGCTATTTGAGTTAGTACTGCTGGTTGATGTGTTTCTTTGCATACTGCACAAGGATTCTTTTCATCTTTTGTTTTTTTAATACTTTTAACTGTTTTGTTAGCCGCATGTATATCTTTCCAGGAATTTCTGCAATTTTCAGGTAACAATGATACATCCACAACAGAAGCCAGCTCGTCAACGTTTGCCGTCATCGACAAATTAATTGCAGGATATATGAAAAAAGCAAAGAAGAATAAGCCCATCAGTACTAACATCGGCAAACATATACTGAAGTATTTATTAGGCATAAAGTCTATACCGCAGCTTTTTAATAAATTGTTAGGCAATAAGGCCCATAGAAAATATAAAATAAAAAGTGTGAAAAAGAACAAATATATAGCGAATCCATATACTGCTCTATGTGGGCTTGGAGCTGGTGTGTGCGATGGCATTTTTTCTGCCGAATGCTTTTATTGTATCTGTACACAATACAAGTAACTCAAAAAATGAAGCAATTGCTGAGCGCAGATTTTTTACTTCATCGGATACAAAGTGAACTTCTAAATCAAGACCTTGTAAAGTAAACTCTTTCTGTACAAAATTTCGACGCGGCTCTACATCAACTTTTAGAACACGGTACGCGATTTCAGCATTTCTCTCCGTGTCAAATGACACTTTAATGGTGCTATAAGTATTTTAAATTAATTAATAAGCGTTACAAAATTGCAAAATAAAATTAAAACTTACGCTTCAGTTGGTCTATCAGACGTATTAATAATATGTAGCGACATATCCTTACAACATTGATATTTATATTGTCAATACAAATATCCAAAACATATTTTGACAGCGCAATACAATTTGTAAATAAAAGTAATGCAACTGGGAGTAAATTTAAAAAAGTAGTAAAAAGTAGTAATCAGGGTTTCTTCATTAATTACGAGCAATTGTACATTATACTATGTTCAGACACACCTTAATTTCGCAAAATCTTTATTTCAAAAAATTTCTTAATTTCGTTTCAGCAAAACTAAATTGTTTTTTCCATATAAAACTTAATTTTAAGGTTAGAAAGATATTAAGGAAAATGCCCTTAATTTCGTTGAAACGAAGGCTGAAATTAAGGGAAATTTTAAAAGCAACTATGCGTAAGATAAATTTTAAGTAAAAATTAAAGTTGATATAACAAAAAAATGAAATTTTTTTAAAATAAATGTCAGTGAGAGTTGACTTTAATAAAACCGGGAAAATATTTTGAAAGGAGTACAAATTTTTAAATTTGCATATAGAGAAAAATTTTTAATTTAAAAATTTTTTGTTTTTAATTTAAAAAAAAAATAACAATTTCTAAAAATAACAATTTATATACCTGAAATCCATCCTTTATAGTTAAGGACATTTGGCTGTCTGAACATAAGTTAACAACGCAATCGTTGAAGCACTTTAAATTTACCAGTATCAACAAATAAATTATTTTTTAATAAATATTATCTTACTCATTTTTCATTTATTTATTGTAATTTATTCATTGTAAAATGTTTACAATAAAATAATATGTAATTAATTTCCAGACACTACGTCAGCATATGAAGTACGTGCCGTACTTAAAAATCAGTAAATTCAAAATCAGTGTTTTAAAGCGCTGTATAGTGAGCGAATATCTAAATCGGTTTTGAACAAAGTCTTCATAGAATACAAAAAAATTAACTAAATAACAATTGTAAGCCGGACAATTTTTAACTCATAGTATTAGGTCTGTTCGCAAATAGTTTTATTGAACCAATAAAATGAAAGTAAAATCATATTCACTTAGCATAATAATCATGAAATGATTGTAATCTTGTTTTTTCAAATTCTCATTGTAGCAAAATCTATATAAAATCACAATTCGAATTATCCACAATATCGCTACACAATTCTATTATTTCAAATTATAAAATCAATTTTAATTTGATTTTGTATAAATATTAATTAAATTGTAAGATTTGTTGCCGGGATCTTGTATAGAATTGTATTTCAATTTATTTTATATTGAGTTGTAAGACCCTAAAAATCTGAATTACAATCATAATTAGAACTATTTTAATTCGGAGCTACACGAGCTACTCGTAGTAAAATTCATGTAAAACATAAGTAAAGTACAAACTGAAGCGTAACACAAATAAAGCGCCAAATTATGCTCTTGTGGCAGCACCAAAAAATATAAATAAAAGAACTGTCAACAAGGCACAAAGGAGACAACAATAGCCGCAGTTCCCGCCAGTAGTAGTTTGGAAAAAGACAAAGCAGCACGTGAATAAAACGAAAAAAAACAAATTTTAACTTTAAGAATATTTTATAATAACTAAGTATAAGAAATAAATAAACTTATCCATTACCAATACGGAGTGTTAAATTCGAAATAAAACCCCAACATAAAAAACCACTACATTGGTGACCAAGCCGACGCCGAATATAAAAAATGGCTACTCAAGAGCAAAAGGTAACCGAAGACACTAACCCAATCAACGAAAACGCAACAATCACTGCAATAAAGCTGCCGATGCCAACATTAATAAAAAACAACATTGACCTTTGGTTTATTCAGTTGGACTACTGGTTCCAAGTCAACAACATAAAGGGCGATACTCAAAAGTTTGGCACAGTTATCGCAGCATTGGATGGATCGCTGTTAGAACAAATTTATAACACAATACAGAATCCACCAGCAGCTCAGAAGTACGAAGCTATCAAGCAAGCAATAATAAAAAACTTTGCGGATAGTGAACAAAAACGCATACAAAAATTAGTTAGTGGTTTACAGCTTGGGGATAAAAAGCCATCCCATCTTTTAAGCGAATTGCAACGTATTAGTGGAAGCAAACAAGACGAACAATTACTGAAAGGGTTATGGTTACAACGTCTTCCTGTAGAAGTACAGACATGTCTAGCCACAATTCAAGTGGAACTACCTAAGATGGCGGAATTGGCAGACAACATAACCGAAACAATCCGTATAAACTCAACAATGCAAGGAACTTACGTCAATGCAGCTAACGTCCCTGCAGCAGCTCATATTCAACGTGATGCACAAATCGAACAACTTCAACGAGAAGTGACCAGACTGACGAAAATGGTCTCGAAATTATCAACCGAACACCGCTCAAGAACAAATCAACGTTCACGTTCAACATCCAGAAACCGGCAATGTCATGATGATAGTGAAGAAAAGACCAGTACAAATTGTTGGTATCATAGAACATATGGGTCAAATGCAAAAAATTGCAAGCAGCCATGCACATATGGCACAAAAAACTAAAACCGACTTCGTCTACGGCGGCAGAGGAAGTTGTAAACGAAACATCTACAAGACTGTTCGTCTATGACAATAAGACAAAAAAATCATTCCTAATAGACACGGGTGCAGATGTTTCACTTATTGCCGCCAAACAAAAAAATTCAAATACAAACAATAAGAACGAAAGAATACTCTACGCAGCAAATGGTTCTATGATCAAAACATTTGGAGAAATAGAGATAACTCTAGCTCTTGGCTTACGAAGAAATTTCACATGGCCATTTATTATCGCAGATGTAAACACTTCAATCATCGGTGCAGATTTTTTAAATCATTTCGGATTAATAGTAGACATAAAAATGAAACGATTGATCGACACATCAACAAAGATTTTTTCAGCCGCAAGTGAACGTAAGGTAAATGCGCAAAAAATATCAACTGTGAACACATCTTGCAAAATTGCAGATCTACTAAAAGAATACATCGACATCACTAAACCAACACCGACAAATCGCCAGGTGACCAAAGTCACTCACCACATATTAACAAAAGGTCCACCAATATGTGAGAGACCACGTAGGTTACCTCCAGACAAGCTAGCAGCAGCAAAAGAAGAATTCCAAAACTTAGTCACAGCCGGAATATGCCGTCCATCAAGCAGCAATTGGGCTAGCCCCTTACATATGGTAAAAAAACCAGACGGTAGTTGGAGACCTTGCGGAGATTACCGTCGCTTAAATGCAATCACCATCCCAGATCGTTACCCAGTTCCTCACATACATGATTTTGCACACATGTTATATAACCAAAAAGTTTTTTCAACCATCGACCTGATTAAGGCATATCACCAGATACCAGTTGAACCGGGGGATATTCCAAAAACGGCGATCATAACTCCATTTGGATTATTTGAATTTACTAACATGACATTCGGACTTTGCAATGCAGGTCAAACATTTCAACGCTTCATTCACGAAGAATTACGAGATCTCGAATTCGCCTTTGCCTATATTGACGACGTCATTATTGCATCAGCAAACGAGGAAGAGCACAGGCAACACTTGCAACAAGTATTCGAACGATTCAGAAAACATGGTTTAATAATAAACGTATCAAAATGCGTTTTTGCTCAAAACACAGTAAAATTTCTTGGTTATCTCATCAGTGAAAAGGGCATTCAACCTCTACCAGATCGAGTGAAGAGCATCAGCGAGTACCCGCTTCCAACAAAAACAAAAGAATTAAGAAGATTTCTAGCATTACTTAACTTTTATCGCAGGTTCGTACCAAACGCTGTAGATTCTCAAACTGCACTTCAACAAATGATAAAAGGAAACAAGAAGAACGACAACACACCGTTATGCTGGACCGAAGTGAACAAAACAATCTTCCAAAAATGTAAAGATGAACTAACAAACTCG